TGCTCCACTGAAGTATGGCTGAGAGACATTGACTTGCGTTGATTATTGTGAAAGTGACTCTCTCTTCCATTCTCCATCCTCAAAACAAAAGTGAGAAGCCCGGATATATATATATGTATGTAGCGCACGCGCTCATGCACTGTGAACCACAATAGCCGTGGAAACCAAAACACAATTGGGAACAGCTCAGCTACAGGCTTAGTGGGAGTTTCATAAAGACCGCATTACGCAGCAGCCAGTGCAGCCTGATTCTCAGTTCGCCAGTCAGCCATAAAACACAATGGACTAAACATCAGGTTCGAGTTATTACGTCAGTTGGCAACCCACCAAGCCACGAATTTTAGCGCAGTGTGATAAATTCCAGGACGCCAGATTATTTTCACTGACGGCAACACATATGATGTATGGCTATTATATTTCATGTTTTGCTTGTATTGCACCTTTAGTCAGGTTTTTTTCACTTAAAACAAACTCCTTATTTCGCACACTATTGACCAAGGAAAAGACCAAAGCAAAGCCAATAGTGACTGCAAAAGAAGGGGCTTGGGTTACGTTTTTTCCTGCCTTCCGGGGTTTTGACGGCACCAAAGAAGTGCTTTACAAATAAACCTTATTATTATTCTTAAGCCTGTATCAGACCTAATCCTGAGTGCATTGGTACTTACTCTGCAGCCGGCAGCCGTCTAATCATTCAGCCGACAGCGCGTAGTCGTCCACAGATGCAATTTTTTTCTGGTGCAAAACACGGCTTCCATGAACCTAAAGGGCCACTGGCGACACTGTGCACTTCTGCCAACCAGTTTTCGTACAGAAATGTTTTCAATGAAGGAGCTATAATTGTTTCTGCAAACAGCATTGCTTACTGGAAAACACTATTACATTTTTGAGGATCCTTACTTTATATGCAGGTTTGACATTGTCGGCAAACTGCCAAAAGATTTAATGGGATATGTTGTAAGGATGTAGAATAACAGAAGGGCCTGAACCTGAAGACGAACCCCTGTCGCTGATAAGAAAGATAACTGGGTGGCTGACGAAAATGAAAGTTAGAGGAGCGTCAGTGCGAGTATTTAAGAGTGAGGGCTCGCTGAAATTCCACAGAAGGTTTTTTCCAGGCTTCTTTTTAGCTAACAATTATTTTCTAAAGATTGCTAACCATTATTTTCAAAAGACAAACCGCCGGTGAATGTGAAGTACTCGGGCTAGCATACTACTAATTTTGCTTTATACCTAGCCGCTCACTCAGAGCACCAATGTTCGCAATGTGATTATTTTACCTTAGTAAAAAATTTGTTTTGGTAGTACCCCTAGGTGATTTAAATGTTTACACTGATTATAATAATTATTTATTATTGTTACACTATTATCAAATTTACCACACTTCGCGAATTCAGTCTCAATTAAATATTTTACTGAGGTGAGCATTAGACGGGCGCCGTGACTCGGCACATTGTAATGAAAAGGTGCTTTGGTTGGGCAGGTTGTAGTCACTTCCTTGTTGACTGCCATGTACAAATGAATTTTATAATTTTAAATTTTTCTCACGAACGTATTGATTTAAGTTTTTACTTATTTTCTGCATTGAATTGTAAATCTTTCGTAAATCGCTTTACAAAATATTAAATGTCCTTTTGCCATTCACAACTTGATAAATACCCACATACCTCCAGCCTACTGCCATAAACGGTGACCACATTAATACGGCTTTTATGTTTTATCGCTTAGGACAAATTCACGGAGCTTCTTAGTGAAACTAGGCGTCTACTCTATATCTAGACTTAACGACTCCTGTCGTTGTCCCCTTTGCTACAGTCCAACAGGTCGCATTTGAGATAGACAGTGGTATGCTGGCCGTGTGGTCAGTCACCACAGTCGCTTGAGCAGTCGTGTCTGCTTTTTAGTCATGCGTTGTAATATTTGCGTCCTTCTAATCTGGCCCGTGCAATTCTAGTTGACCAATAGGCGACTCCAAATGCTTTTCCAGCCTTCAGTTTTTCTTTGGTTCACATGAATCTTCGATCGTATTGCTTGTAATGGATGAGACCTTGCCGAGTAAAATCACTCAGTAATGTGTTCTGTCAGCGTAGGTACATACATGTCTAATATCTGGTACGGATTTTCAAGCTTAATTTGGCCTTACCTGGTTGACTTATGTGGGCACTGATATAGGTACCGGTAGGTGAATCACAGTTGTTCTTTTACAAATTAATCGTGCAGTTCCATGATACCTCATGCTAATTTTACGAGTTGTCTGTTATTCCTCCTACTTCATTTAAAGACTGATTAGCGCGAAGACAATTGCTGTATCAGCCGATATCTGGTTTTTCATTGAAGTCTATTGCTGTTTTTGGACGCTTTGCAAACCAGTAGCTGATAGTCTATCCATGATCCTGATGTATGGTTTTTTATTGCTTTGAATATTTACTTTTTCCGCAACATTCGGCAATGCAAACATATCAGCCATAAATTACTCGAAATGGCATTACTGTGTCTAATAATAATAATAATAATAATTTTCAACATTAAAATGATTCAGTAGTACTTCAACGCCTGAAGTTCACGTCAGTATAACTACATCATAACTAGTCAATTTAAGTCAGTTTGTGGCTTTTTGACCGTCTTCTCTGTCGCGCTATGACGCGTTGCCGATAACGCTGCCGGGGAATATTTATTGCGCAGTTGCTTTTTAAGGGCAAGGCCACTGGAAGGCAGAAATTAGTTGCATCCAATGATTGGTAATTTATCCTAAACTTCCCTCATTTTCCCTGTAAATATAGTCTGATAATGTCTACTACTTTGCATGGAGACCACCAGTTACCTTAGTTTTCATCATGTTGATTCACATGCTGCCCAGAACACGATAACTTCCAATCCAACCCCGGTGACGTTCACTCTGAATCTCACTAACTTTCCCTTCCTGCCCGTAGTACACTTTGTTGATGCCAACGTTCCTCTCATACATGCCTCACTGGAGCTCCATTTGTGGGTGCTTTAGAGAGAATTTGAGTCAATTTTCATTATAGTTCCTACATCTTCATTTACTTGCGTCAGTGATAAAATAGAGGCCAGTTAATGACGGCCAGTGGTAGCCGGACGCCTTCCTTGTCAGAATGCATTTTCCATTTCCTGGTGACCGCTTCTCTTAACCAGTTACAATATGGTTTTCATCCGCCTGAGGTGTTTTGTCCCTTGGCTGACACCTTCAGTAGTGACCATATCTTGCAGTTGTTAAGCCAAAAAGCATTTGGCTTTTGAGCGTTCATTTTGGACATTAGTCAAAATTCTCACTGGTACCTTTAGTCACAATATATGTTGTACATGGTTTACTTCACACCCTTCCTCTGCATCACTAAACCATTGAACAGTTTTCGTTGCTCATGTTTTCCTTTGTTCACATATTTTTTCTCTTTTAGATTCAACAGGACTCCTCAGTATTCAGATAAGCCAACTCGCCAGACGGAATGCGTTGCTTCTACGAAGTCCTTGGTATGAAATACCCGGACGTGTAATTTTATTTCCATAGGGCTTGAGAGAACCTGTGAGGCCTCCGAACTGAAAAAAGCCTATTATAAGGCTTCGCTGGAATGGCATCCCGACAAGAATCATGACAGATTAGAAGAAGCTACAGTCAGGTTCCAGGAAATTCAAGAAGCATACCGGTTTGTCAAACTTACTATCGACTCTTACATATAACCTCTTTATTTGAGACTAATTCTACTAGCTCGCTGTGTTTGCATCTTAATTTCGTTTTTATCTTCGAGCTGTTGACTGAAATTATTTTTACACTTTAAGCGGCGTTTTTGAGCACCTAGTGATAAAACCATGTGAAATACGCGTAATAAGCCCGCAAGCTCAAAATATCTGTTTTGGTATCTTTTTGGTATCCATTCCGCCATCTTTCTTGTAATCGTTGCTATAGAATTTGTCCTCCACTCATGGCTCTCCTCGATTCGTTAAGCTGAATGCCACATTTTACTGTAATGATGCTTATTTACGAAAACTTTATTCCAATGTTGTTTTTGGCAGGACTGTCTTTAGAGGTTCTTTTTGCATTTGAATTATAACAATAACCTACTTATACATTTTCAGTAATCCTTTTTTCGTTAAATTCCGCCACTATAAGGTTGTCTTTCCCTCAATTGGCATCAGTATCCTGAGCAGCAGGAGTTTATGTTGATGGATATGATTCAATTTAGTATATTGAAACAAATATAAGTTTCTTTAGGTTAATATTTTTTGATCACTTCCACCACAATTGAATATTCATTTACACTCACTAACCAAGAATTAAATGTTTGACCATAAAATACGTTAGACAGTTGAGCGGGAGGAATAGATATTTAAGGGACCCTACAAGACAGTTTTGCCTTAATTTTTTCCCCGTACATCCCATTAAGTCCATTCTTTTTTTGTTATTGGGCACTTAAAATCTTCATTTCCCTTCTTGCCTTTTTGCACTTACTGTTTTTGTTGGAGTCTTCATTTTAATAGTTTGTGTGTCAGGTTTCGACCGAAGCTCGAAGCCATCTGCTATTTTCGGATATCACAAATAATAGTTCAGTCAGCTTCGGCATGCACAATATCACTTTATACGCGTTGGAGAAGCTGGCACTCAGCAGTAGTCTTACGCTGTAAATTCTCAAACTCCACTAGACGCAGCATCCTCTGATAGTTTTATCGCAAATGTTTTTCGGATAGCGTTTCGGATGGGTGTCGTCGTGGATGCCTTTACCCAAGAGAGTACAAAACACACATAACACTCGTATCACTAGTTCTTAGATGGTTGTGGTGACGATGACGAACTGCAGTATTTGGCGTTCGGATTTGATGATTCGGGCTTTTCTTCCGCTCTGACGGAAAGGGTTGAATGCTGAGGGCTAGAAAGCCGCCTCAAAATCTTTATAGATCACGTTTAACTGGCTTTTCGGATCATTGTTTCAACTGAAATTTGCGTAGAGTATGCGGCACTACCGTTAGATTTACTGCGCAAGATTCGTCCAAACTACTCTGGCCGTCTTCCAAAGACTGGCATGAGGTCTTATCACTACGTTCTTATAACCAGTGTGGCCTATAGTCCTCACTCGGTTGCTTTTTAGTAAACAATGGCAGCCTGAAAACTCCACTCTTTATCCATTTTTCTCACGAAGAAGTTAGCACTATCAAGTACAGGGAGGTATTTTTCAGGCAATTAGGTGGTCTGTGCAGCCATTTCGATCGAGGCATCGCGACAAACTTTCGCTTATTTTCTAAAAGCCTGCTAGCAACTTCGATTTTGGTAACGATATTCTTCTTCATCTTTCTCTGTTACTTTCTGGCCGATCATGATAAGTTACTCGTTACCCACGCGCAAACTGTATGTCGGCTAAGAAAAGATTGGGTTTGTGTTGAGACTGCAGTCGTGGTCCTATCACCTTTCGTCGGCGTATTCACTATTTGTTCTTACTTCGGCCATAGGATCGCTCTCACTTCCAGAGTTAGTACATTGCGCCAGGTCCTCGCACCGCAAACGTTTAGCCTAAGACAATGATGTCGAATGTAACCGTGTTCCACCGACTAGTTGAACCTGTGGAAGCCGCACAAAATCCCTAACTTGCTACTTCTCCCCATTGCAGCGTGCTTTCCGATGTTCAAGAACGTGCCTGGTATGATCGCCACCGTGAGGAGATTCTGCGTGGTGGGCAAGGTGGGATTGGTGGAGACTACAAAGACGACAGTCTGGACATCTTTCAGTTCTTCTCTCGTTCATGCTTCAGCGGTTTCGATGACGAACCTAAGGTCAGTGCCTGCCCCCTCCCCTCCGATTCTCCCTTCTGCTGTTCATACTGATTGCATTTCTGATGCACAACCCTTGTGGTCTCTTCTTCTTCTTAACAGGGTTTCTACACAGTCTACAACAAGGTCTTTGAAGATATTGCAACGGAGGAACGTCGCTCTGGTGACTGGACCTCCAGCGAATCGGAAGATGAGAGCAGTGATGATGCAGGACAGAGTTGGGAGGGGGCGAATGAAGGAGAAAAAACGGCATCTCGAAGACGACGACGACAGCCCAGTTCGTTTCCCCCCTTTGGTCAGGCGAACAGTGACTATAACGCCGTTGTCCGTCCATTCTACG